TCCCTCAGCTACCAGGAGCGCTCGGAGTCCGTGTCGTCGCCCATCAGCGGCAGCAACAACCAGCTCAACGCCAGCACTGCCGCCCAGTACGTGGCTGACTTCAGCGTCCGCGCCCTCACCGACCTCCAGTTCGTCAAGGTGAGCCTCATCCCCGTGGGGAAGGGCTGGGAACACCCCAACAGGATCCCCCACCTCCTGCTGGAGGGAAGGGATGCCATCCAGAGGGACCTTGGCAGGTGGAACAATGCGAAGCTCATGGAGTTTAACAAAATGAAGCGCAAGGTTCTACATCTGGGTACATCGTGGCAATGCCAGGCACAGCTACAGGTTGGGTGGGGAAGGGATTGGATCCAGCAGTGAGGAGAAAAATACTTTGGAGGGACAGTGGGTGAGAAGTTCAGCATGAGCTGCAGTGTGAGCTCAGCCCAGAAAGCCAGTGGAATCCTGGGCTGCAGCCAAGAGTGTGAGGAGCAGGACAAAATAGGTGATTCTTCCCTTCTACTCTGCTCTGGTGAGACCCACCTGGAATCCTGCATACAGTCCTGGTGTCCTCAGCATTAGAAGGACATGGAACTGTTGGAGCAAGTCCAGAGGAGGTCACCAAGTTGATGAGAGGACTGGATCATCTCCCCTGTCAGGACAGGCTGAGGGAGTTGGGGCTGTTCAGCCTGGAGAAGAGAAGGTTGTGTGGAGACCTCAGAGCAACTTTTCACTATCTGAACGGGCTACAAGGAGCCAGAGAGGGACTTTGTGTTAGGAGCTGCAGGGACTGGACAAGGGGTAATGGGTTCAAACTGAAGGAGGGGAAGTCTGGGTTGGTTGTGAGGAAAACGTTTTCTACTCTAAGGGTGGTGAGACACTGGCACAGGTTGCCCAGGGACGTGGTGGCTGCCCCGACCCTGGTGGTGTTCAATCCAGGCTGGATGAGCCTTGAGCAACCTGATCTAGTGAGGAGGTGTCCCTGCCCAGGGCAGGGGTTGGGATAGATGATCTGTAAGGTCCATTCCAACCCCTAAATTCTATGATTCTATGATCCCTGCTGGTTTTCCTTGGCACAGATCACACGACAGGAATACCAGAACGGCCTGACGGCTTCCCGCATAGACAGTTGTCCCCAGTCCCCCGACAGCAACGCACCCAAACTGGACCCTGGGGCACCGGAGAAACCGGAGCCTCCTGCCCCTGCCGATGAGACCACGAGTCTCCTGAACGAGAGGAACTGCCTGAGCCGCCGGAGCAACCACAGTCCCCTGGAAAACTCCATCTGACCCCGGCACCGCCGGCGCGTGCTGGAGGGACGGCGCGTGCCCGGTGCAGGGACCCTTTTCCCGGTAGGAAACGCTCGGCGTCTCCTCGGTGGCACCGGGATGAGCCCGAGGAGGCAGCGTGGAGGGGAATGAAGGAGTTGGGAATTGCTGCTGCTCTCCGGAATGGCTCGTTCTGGAATGCGTTGAACCGGATGGCGGTGACAAGTCTCCGCCGGCCGCCGACGGCTCAGGGAGCTTCAGGTCTCATCCGCCGCTTCGGGGACCCCTGGGATGGGCATCCTGACCCTTTGGGTGTCCTACAGCATCCCAGGATAGACATCCTGACCCCTTGGGTCTCCTACAGCATCCCAGGATGGGCATCCTGACCCTTCGTGTCTCCTATGCCACGTTGGGACCTCCAGTATGGGCATCCTGACCCCTTGGGTCACCTACAGCATCCCAGGATAGACATCCTGATCCCTCGTGTCTGCTATGCCACGTTGGGACCTCCAGGATGGGCATCCTGACCCCTTGGGTCTCCTATGCCATGTTGGGACTGCCAGGATGGGCATCCTGGCCCCTGGGGTCTTCTATACCATCCCAGGATGGGCATCCCAACCCTTTGGGTCTCCTATACCATCCCAGGATGGGAATCCTGACCCCTTGGGTCTCCTACGCCACGTTGGGACCTCCAGGATGGGCATCCCAACCCTTTGGGTCTCCTATACCATCCCAGGATGGGAATCCTGACCCCTTGGGTCTCCTACGCCACGTTGGGACCTCCAGGATGGGCATCCCAACCCTTTGGGTCTCCTATACCATCCCAGGATGGGAATCCTGACCCCTTGTGTCTCCTATGCCACGTTGGGACCCCTGGGACACGCATCCCAATCCTCTTGGGTTTCCTACACGATGTAGGGACCCCTAGGATGGGCATCCCAACCCCTTGGGACTTCTACACCATGTTGGGACTCTGGGGATGGGTGTCCAGGCCCCTCAGGTCTCCCCAGGATGGGCATCCCAACCTCTCGTGTCTCCTACACCATGTTGGGACCCCTGGGATGGCTGTCCCAACGCCTTGAGACTCCTACACCATGTTGGGACCACCAGGATGGGTGTCCAGGCCCCTTGGGTCTCCTACACCATCCCAGGATGGGGCATCCTGACCCCTTGGGTCTCCTACACCACGTTGGGATTCCCAGGATGGGTGTCCCAACTCCTCAGTCCCCCCCAGGATGGGTGTCCCATCCCTTCTCCGGTGTTTTTGGCGGAGAGGGACCCTTGGGCTGCGCAGTCTCTCCTCCTCCTCCTCCTGGCTGAGGCCGAGCCCTGTCCTTGCCCGTTCCCCGTTCCCGCTGGCCCGGGGCAGGGGGAATGTGGTGCTGGAGAGCTTGGCACAGGCCTGAGCATCTGGGAGCACCCCCTGTCCCTCCCTGGTGTCACGAGCGTGCTGGGACCCCCTCGGCGGCGTCGGTGCCTTCCCCCCACCCCCGTGGGGTGTCTCAGGGTGTCGGGGCCGGGGAGGGGGTGCAGGGTCCTGGTTTTGGGGTGACACAGAGCT